TGCCCCTCTGTGCTGCCCCTCTGCGCTGCCCCTCCGCTCTGCCCCTCTGCTCTGCCCCTCCGCTCTGCCCCTCCGCTCTGCCCTTCTGCTCTGCCCCTCTGCACTGCCCTGTTCCTGAGGGCCCATGCGGGCAGAAGGTGCAAGCGAGCACAGGGCCAGCTCAGGCTCGGGCTAGAAAGCCGTGTTTTCAGAAACAGCTGGAATAAGAAATTCCAATATGAAGCTGCTTGTTCGCTGCTTCCAATCCCTCCCGGAAGGGAACTGCAAGAATCATCAGTCCGAGGAGTTAGGATAATCCAAATGCTTCTGCCTGCTTCCCCTCACCATCCTGCCAAGCTTCACTTTAGTGTTATAACCAGAGCTCAGCTCCAGCTGCTCTGATCCCTCTGTTCCAGGGTGCAGAGTTTCTAGCTTCCCTGTGAACTGTCTTGAACACTATCAAATATATAGATAAAACAGCATTTGTGAGAGCGGTGTGAAGAAGAAATGCTAGTTCTAAAGGACATCACATTTGAGTAGCACTTTGAACAACCCCCTGGCACAAACCTTCCCTCTTTTCAGGGTAAGCTCCATGTCTCCCCGTCTGAAAACCCTACTCTCCTAACATTGCTGCAGGGCTTTTTCTACCCCTCAGATCTCTAGGCCTCTCTGCCCAACACACCGCGGGTTGCTGGTTGTGTTTCCAGTCCTTCATGTCTCCATCCTCCTCTCCCAGATGGCTGGGCATGGCATCCTGCCTATTCTCCACGATCCTGGTTGGCCCTGATTGCCAAGGGCACTCACCTGTGACTGCTCCTACTCCTGAACACGACCTCCCCCGCTGTGCCCAGCCACCTCCCTGCAGGAGCCGCTTGGAGCTCTTCAAGTTGCCAACATCCCTGTTCTTGTGTGGACGTGTCAGCCCCGCTGGGCGTCACGAGCTGCCAGGCAGGGCTGCAGCCGGCTCCAAGACATCGCCCCAGGGCAAAGCCCCCCGCCCTGCCTCTGAGCAGGGTTCCTGCTTCCTGGCTGCACCACAGAGAAGCCCAGGCAGCTGCAGAACATGCAGGGAAGCCTCTCGCCCCAGACAGATGTTCGCCAGCTGCAAGGCAGGGAGCAGCACTGTCCTCAGCTGCCCTGCAGGAAGATCAGCACGTCAGACCCGTGCTGACCTCAATAATTGGAACGAAGCAGCACCCAGCCTGACACGGGCCTGCGTGCATCCTGTCCAGAATGATTCTAACCCACTTCCCTGCACAAACCGCTTGTTTAAAGAACTCCGGAGCATTCTTCAGCCACGGAGCTGCCGCGGAGCCTCTGTGCCCATGAGCAGCTCTCTGGGATGGCAGCTCCATCAGCAGCAGGATGGCAGCCGCGCTCCAGTGTCCTTCCTCATTAGTGCCAGACACATCAGCCCGGGGTTGTTCCTCTCTTTTTGCCATTTCAGTTGGACTTTGAGCAAACAGATGTGAATCAACCTTGGTGCAAGTGGGAGCGGCTTCCCGGTGCTCTCCGAAGATCTGCCTGCTTGCAGAAGTGTTGAACCTGGCCCCGACAGCTGAGAGAAAAATACTGTAGCTGAAAGGAGACGTAAATCTGTTCCATCTGCTCTCCAGCAGTTTGGAAAAGGCAGGGATTATAAACTGCCACTTCCCTGCAGTCATTCGTACACCCGTCTAAATAAATCAGGGCTCTGAGCCCTTCTGTGAGAAATGGGGCTGCCTCAAACCATTAACCCCTGGACAGAAACTCTCCCCAGATGAAAGCGGAAAAGCAGGGCTTACTTTGGAGCTGGTCAAGTCGGCTGAACTCCAGGGGAGCTCAGCTGAGCCCTCTCCGGGGCCCGGACCTCCTCGTTCCTCATCGCTGGCCGCTCCAGCTGTGCCTCATCCCGGCTCCCTCCGTGGGAGCAGCAGCGCCGGGGCCGTAGAAACGGTGACCTTGATCCTAACACAGGGAGACGGGGCCTGCCCTGGTATCCCGCAAGGAATGGGGAGCTTGGAGGAAGTGGCCAGCAAAAAAAGAAAAAATATTAAAATGAGCACTTAAATGTCTCAATGTCTGCAGAGATCTCTACATAGTGCAGCCTCTAAATACAAATTAAATAATTTCTCTTGCCTTTAATATTCTGATAGAAATACTCACTTGACCCCGTCAGTCTGGATAACACCAGCAAAGTCCATCATTACACACACTATAATCAAAGCGCTGCTTAGATGCTGTGGATTTACAGGAAGCTTCATGAATCTGCCAGTTGGGTAGAATGAGAAATAAATAATATTGTTTTATAGAAGAAAAAAAATGAACACAGGGAGACAAAGAGCAGGTCACGGGAGGAATTCCCCTCAGCTGTGCTTGTGTTCTAGCACACGCTGCATCCAGGTCCCAGCACCGCTGCGCCGGCTCCGCGTGCGCGGGGCGGCCGGGCTCCGCGCGTCCCTCCTTCGGGACACTGGGGTGCTCTGATCCCACCAAGCGACGTAAGGAGCCGGTGGCCTTTGTGCAGAGCCCGAGCGCGTCCCCAGGCTCCTGACTGGCTTCTCTTGTCCGTCCCACAGGTCAGAGCGACACGGTGGAGGTGCCGGTGCGGCTGATCCCTGCGGAGCGACAAGCGGGGGACGGCACGTCCCTCCCCGAGACGCCCAACCCCAAAATGGTGCGAATTGGCCCGTCAAAGCGGGACCTTTGCAGGGAGGCGCAGCGATCTGCTGCTCCTTCATGTTAACACAGGAACGCGGATAAAGAGAATGCACCTAGGACATGTCCGCATGGGAATATCTGCTCTCCCGGTCTGACAACATCCCTTCCTTGGAGCTTTTCTCCAAAATATTACCTGGGCAATGAGTTAACTGCAATAGTGCTGGGGTCTGGCAGTGTCTTCGGCAGCCTCCTGAGCACAGGGCTCTTGGGAAGCTTCAGGAAAGGGGAAAAGGGGAAAACCTCGGTTTTGAGTGACACAGGGTTTGAGAAAACCAAAGAACAGGGGAGAAAAGGGGTCAGCGATGGGTGGACAACCTGCTCCGGGACATCCCGGGTCTGGGAACTTTGCAAGACGTTTCTAGAGTTGGGCACTGACGGCAGCTCCTTGTCCTCTCCTTAGATGTCGGCTGTCTATGCAGAGTTAGAGAACCGCCTGATCGGCAGCTTTGCGGGGAAGATGAGCAACGCTGCCCTGCGCAGAGCTGCTCCTCCTGCCCCGGACCAGCCGCGGGCTGCAGGTACCACCCGCTTCCCCGCTGCTTCTGCGAGAAACAGCTTTCTTATTCACTTCTTTTTGCTGATACAACGGAAGGTGATGCTGGGCAGGCGGGCTGAGGACAAGATGTCTTTCCTTGGTACCATTTTATAGCAAAGCAATAAGTGCAATGATAGCCTGCACAAAGCTCCATCCCCAGAAGGGCAGCGCGGTGCAGGGGGAGCTGAGCAGCCCCTGCAGATCCCTCTTTCCTGCAGGCTCGTCCCTGTCCCCGGCTCTCACCCGGGACAGCGCGGGGCTCTCGCAGCCCGTGGTGGGAGAGCTCCGGGAAGCCGCCCCCGCGGTGCCCCCAGGCAGCGAGGAGCCCACTCGGCTCCGCTCTGGGTCCC